ACTCGAATGACTTGGAAAGAGCAAACGAAAATGCTTCCTGTCGTAATAGTTTGAAGATGGTATACAATCATGAGAACAAAAATGTTCTCATAGTTTCTTTTAAGGGAGATCGAACCCACTTGATTACCTATTATGATCATCCTACATATGTCAGATGCATGTTTGGTGGTCGTGGATGGTCGAATCATTATTTTTAGCAAAAATGATAAAAGTGTCGTTTTATTTTAACTGAAACGATATGCGTGTAATTTTAGTTATGATTTAAACTAAAACGATATCAACGTCGTCAAAATTGTGTTGAAACGATATTTATATCGTTATGTATCAAAATCACAAATAAAGTAACGACATTCATATCGTTTTAGTACAAATTTGACGAGTTAAGTAGTTAGCCATTGATGTATTGAACATGATACAATCCTTTAAGAGTATGATATATAACTCGAAGAGAAAATGAAGGGTAATGTGAAAGCACGTACCAAATAAAATTTGATTTCTCCATCTCTTTTTATTTGGTTTTAAGTGGCAAAGCTAATGGCTAGAGGAGTATTATTAGATATTGGTTGTATTTTAAACTAAACTTCATATTTATCGAGTGTCCAAGAATTGCTCGAGTAAATTCATGAATGAAAGAGGGTGCATCTTAAAATCGGATGTGTACACTCAATCCGTTTAAGAATTACTCATCCTTTCAAACTTGGGTCGGGCATTTAATTATAAAAGGTAAAAACTCAATTAGTATTAATTATTGTTATTATAACACATACTATGAAAATTTTACATACAAATTTCATTTTTTTTATATTTTTTATTTATTTATCAATATAACATCAATAATTAAATAGCTAGCTTTCTATGTCAAATATGTCACAACATTGGCACAACCTTTCAACATTATATAGGAAGCCACGTCAAAATTCCTAAGTGCAATATGTTCTGACACAGTGAATCTTGATCTTATCAAAACAAAAACAATTAAGAACAAAGATTGTACAGTTAATAAGTACTTAATTGCTCCAAAAGGGATAGCAGAAATATTCACCCACAGGAACTTCCAATATAAAATGCATCTCCCTTAATATCACAGCAAAACTGTTCTTCACTGACAGAAAATTGGGGACATAAATTCCCATTAAAAGGAATAACCCAATATACATGTGATGCTATTATGAGATATTTCTCAAGACCACTTGGTTCAAATGCCACACTGATGGTCGCTAGGATTTGCCCATCGAATGCCAAATAAAAATGAGGAAATAATTAAATATAACAAAAAAGAAGATGCTGCAAGTTTTGATTACCCACTCAACCAAATGAGTTTTCAAGGGAATAATATGTAGATTTTGGAGTTCCATGAAGGAAAAGAAGATGAAGAGAAGGAAAGGAAAGGAGAATATTTGCATAGAGAGATCGACCTGTGGAAGGAATGGAAGTCAATATTGAATTAGGGCTAAATGGAAATTGAAAGGATAAAAGGAGATTTCAAGTAGGGTTCAATGGAAATTGAAATGAGTATAAGGGCAATAATGACCTTTTGTATACAAGGTCATTTTAGTCCTGTACAAATTATATTTTTCATATTTTATAACTTTAGGCCTTTTAACTAAGAAACATAGTTGTTGATCTTTTTAAACTAATGTTCAATTTGACTCGGCCTTTTAAATCGATTCCCCATAAAAATAGTGTTAAGCCCAACCAACCTAAAACTCTGCACAAGCCCAATCAACTGAATCGAAAAGTCAAAAAATTGTGGTGGCCAAAAATATAATGTATGATATTGCCACATTACCTACTTAGATGGTGGCCATAGTTTTATTTTTAATTACCGCCAAGTTATTTGTTTTTCAACTCATAGCCCTTGTTTGAGCCTCATTCTTTAGGAAAAAAAAATATTTTTTTAAATAGTATTCTGATATTATTTCAACTATATATTTTTTAATAAAATAAGTTCGGAGAGAATCTTTATTTTATTTGATTAATTTTTTTAAAATAGGGGGTATGTTTGACTCTCCAACTCACTATTCTTACTTTATAATACTTATATTTAATAAATTACATATTTCAATACTCCACTTTTTAAATTATTCAAATAATGTTTTAATTTATTGACCATTGACATATAAAAATATATATTAAATAAAAAATGAGGAAAAACCAATAAATGTTTCTTGAAATACAAAATGAACAACTAAAATAAATAGTATTATTGGATTGAATAAAAAAATTATTATCTAAATTTAAATATGATATCTTAAAATACTCTGAATACTCAACTTTGGTATTTGTTTTAGATCGATGCTCATGTTGAGACGCGAACGACAAGATTTGTCAATGGTTCAATTTTGACATTATTAATCGAAACATAGTCAAAGTAAATTTTGGTCTCTATATATGAGTAATTAATTCCAAATCCTTACAAATTGCATCTGGCAGTCAATTTCACATTTAAGTATTTCATAAACTCTTAGTATTTCCGCTATTTTATTTGTACATAATTTATTTACAGATTGATGTACAGAGAAAGAGAGAAAAACAGCTTGGAAGAGGGTGAGAGAGAAAAAAAAAATGAGATAATGAAGTAAGTTAAATTTTAATATAATGTCATATCATTAATCTATATATTAATCTGTATATATTATGTACATGTAGCGTTACTCTATAAATTTTGAGATGTAATGTATCTTAATTTTTTATTAAGATAACTATAGTGAATACATTTGTTTTAATATTTGAAAATGTATTTATTTTGGAATATTATTACTAATGATAATAATATTATAGAAGAATATCAAGATATTCATTGTTCATTTTAGTTATTGTATACAAGCAAAACATGTAATTGTTTTTGTTTACCAAATGCTCAAATGTTGATTTTGAGACATACAAGAATGTAAAAATATAGACCCTGTTTGATCTCCATTATTTCCTCATTAAAATGAAAAATATGACCGTTATCCATCACATCAAACCAACATATTTGACTTTTTATCTCTTGTGTGAGGTCCATAACGACCATATTTTTCATTTTTATTTTTACAATAGTGTGGCTCAAACGGGGTATAATTTGTCAAATATTTATCTAATTCTTTCTTTGGTATACTCTTAAAAGTACATTAATATAAAACTAAGCCAAGAAAACCGTTTTTGGACCTATTTATATATTTTTTCTCAAAATGATCTGTCCAAATAGAAGAGGTTTTGAAAAAGTTGACCAAAAGTAATTTCATACGGAAAAATAATAATAATAATAAATAAAAAAGAGCCTGAAAACTTGATAGGTCTCTGAACATAGATTGATTCACAAATGGCCCCAAAACACGTTTTTTTTTTTTTTTAAAATAAAATTTCATCACTCTCTTTTCTGATACATTTTCCGTTAGTCGTCACCTTCACGCCTTGAGGCGTAATTAACCAATCTGCTTATTTGGAAACTGAAAAGGAAAAGCTCGTAGATTATAAGTCGGTCGTCTACCTACCACATGGTCCAAACAAACATACGCGTGTTATTTTTTTAATCGAAAAAATGTGTTTATTTGGTCTTTATAACTTTGAAACATTTTTTCTTTTCAATTTCATAACTTAATTATATAATATATTTCTCATTAATGGTTATATTCATGTCCGTCAATTCAAACTATCATATTTGAAACTCAAAAATTGAAGCGACTTCATAAGCTAGAAGATATCTATCCACATAAGCAAGCATATAAATTACTTTTAAAAACGTCTCTAGTAACTATTGATCTCAATTTTTGCGTGGGTGAAATGGTCGACATATCTGACTGCACTCATGTCCAAGTAGATTGGCTTTACACACTTGGACAAACCGTTAGAAGCATGTGGCCTTTACCTGTGGTAGAGAAGGCGGCTGCGAACACTCTAACAGTCAAGTCATTCAATGGAACGAGTATATTTGGCGACGAACACTCTGACGATCGAATGACGTCAGCCACGATAGTATATGGTCACCGAGTATTTACAGGATGATAGAAATGGTAGAGAGTTATCTTACTTTGAGTGTGCAAAATTGTATTACCTTTTGAATAGTATTAAGTGTGAGTTTTTATAGTAGAATAAGAGAAATCGTCACAAGATACACGTGGTCTCATCCTGATGGTCGAAGTGTACCCTCCTATACGTCATTCCATCAATCATATGCTAATTAGCATTTAATGTTATCTAAAATGTGGTCACCCTAGAGTTTAGGTCGGACCTATGAATTACAGACTGATAATTAACATTTTTGGAATTGTAGAGATATCATATCAATCGATCGTGAATAATCTTATACAAAAAAGCTCTTGAAAGAGGTGAGGTAAGAGATGCTTTCCATCAACAAGGAGGTTAATTGCCTCGAATTTCCTTTTTGCAACAAGCGCAATACCTCACCTCCACTATGGAAGGTCGACCTTTACATGATACCTCGACAAAAGCAATACATCATCTCAACTAACTTATGTATGACTTCACCTCAAGCTGGTCGGATGGTGACATGAAGTGTGAACCGATTGAACTTGTTAGTTGAATTCCACGTGACGATGATATGGAACCTCATCATAAAAGGCGTAACATTCACTTTTTACCTTATTATGGTGGATAAATAAAAAATGTTTTATTGTACTTGATGTAAGGAATAAATATGCTCGCTAATAATTATTTAAAACTTGAAAATGGCATTATAGTAAATTTGTTTGCACTCAAGATACCTAGGATCCACAATATTTTGAAGTTTGAACGGAAGGCCGATCCCGTCCTTCAATTCCTTAGCTAAAATACTAAGATTAGAAGCATTGTATACGTTGCCCTTCTCTTATTCAACCATTCTCTCTCTACACCGATTGTCACCCAAAACCACCACCCTCCCCACATAATGACAGTGAAAATAATGCAAAAGGTGGTAGATGAAAGTGTAAATCTTCTCCCTCTGTATTCTCACCACCTTACCTTCATAATCCACTGATCAAAACCACCCAACCCCCACAATTCTCTTCGTTGATTTTTCTCCTCGAACTCCACGAACCAAATCTTAGCATAATTTCTCTTGTCTTTTTGCGTTGTGATTTCCAGGTATTTTCAAGAAAAGTCCAACTCTTCGTACTGACATTCGTGATATTGGGCGTTCATACAATTTTTTCTTTTTTGGTTGACTTTTAGTCTTGGATTATTAATTGTACAAGTTGGCATGTGGGTTTTAGGGGTTGGGCATTTGTTTTTATCATGATTAACAGTGTGTTTCTCGTGTCGGCGATTTTGGGGTTTTCTTGATTTTCCTCTTTCGTTTGTGGGTTTTCTTGGAAAAGGATCTGTTTTGGGCATTTATGAAGATTTCTTTCGATTCTATTTCCACGAGTTGATGGCTGTTTTGGCAAATTACACCTGTTGCTTGTCAGAATTTTTGCATCTTTCAGTTATGTATAAGGGTTTGTCACCTTTGATTTTCTGGAAAAAGATGTGAAATTTATTATCTATGCATGATATTCCGTTACAAGATGAATAAATGATAGTATAATCTTAGTTTCTGGGCAATACTTTCGGAAATTATAAGATTATATTGGTTTCAAACAGGATTATTCTCGACTTCTGAATGTTCTATCAGTCTTTTTGTGCTCCGGGATGAGTCTTGTGACTAATTTGAGGGCGTAAAAATTGAGTCAATAGAAGATCTTATTGCACTTTTTCTTTAGTCAATGGAGTCTTTGAAAACGCTATTAACTAAGTAAACTATCGCTATAATTTTACGGAGTCTGCCGTTATGTTATGAATAGTATGCTGGCTTTAATATCCCGTAATTTCTCCACAATTTTTTGTACAATGGTATATGCTATACGAAACTTTAGCGAAACCCAGGCATTCGACTGACATGAAACTAATTGTATACATTTAAAATGATAAAGTGCTGAAATTTTTAAACTTACAATATAATTCAGTCATCTAATATTCATTGTCTAGAAATTAATATATATCACTTTATTCATATATTCTTTGTTGTTTCCTGCCTCTGAATGGCTTCTAAAAGCTGCATTAGGTTCTGGATTTCTGTCACTCAACAGTCCATGACATTTTGTTTCTTTCTTTGTATATTTTTAATGGTGAAGTGTTATTCTGATCTTTTCTTTTTGAAATTACGAGGCGATTAGTTAACTTACTCCGTTGCTTATTAGGATTACCGGAACAGCCATGGTGAGCATTCGAAGGCGCAGACTCTTAGGACTTTGCTCTGGTACACAAATTAAATTGTATTTGGTTAATGATTAAGAATATTACACCAATAAGCTTGCGTTTGACCATCAAAAATTTTGTACTGGTCTTCTTGGAGAATTCTATATGAATAATGATCTTCTTTTTTCTGTCTTATCATTGGCCTGTTTAAGACCTCTTAGCTTCAATGATATTCCTTCATACGATTGTGTAGGGCAAAATTGTTTCCTGGATCCTCTTCCCAAGTCCTCTGAGAATGGACATAGTTCTGAAAGCTGTGTGGATAACACCAAACCAATCAGTGTTCGTCCCGTTCCTTTAAAAGATATTGACCTACCAAAGGACGTAAGTGCTTCTCTTTCTTCCTGTGCATCACTATGTTATGTTAACGTGGTTCTCTATGCTGTCTATTTCATGATTATTTGGCGTGCGTCAAATGTGGGACCATCATATTTTAAAGTTTGAACTGAATTAGCTCATAACTAAATATACCAAATGTTTCATAATAGCGTTGATTTCTCGTGAACATTGACTCATGTTATAATCATTCAAGACCAGAGTTTTCACTTTTCTAAATCCTGAAGTATCTGTAAGAAGAAATTAAGAGTGGGTGTTTGTTGCCATACTAAAATAAACCTGTTAAGTATCTCTATAAATGTCAATCTCCACTTTGTCCTATGAAAAAACCACTGCAATATGAATGCTATAAACTTGGAATTCTCCCCACTCTCATGTGCTTCAGAGACTAGATGCCAGTTTTTCAAGGATGGGCAGTAAGAAAGACATTTTGCCTCAAGCTTGATCGGCTGTGCTAGTAAGGGTGAATGTGGAGGATCTTCTTGGTCTAAACTTAAGTCATCTCAAGTGGTTCTGTTTTGGAGGTTATAGATCCATTGTAGTTTCTTCCAACTTAATAGAATTTTTGAATTGTGCTTTCTATTATTAATTTGGCTTAGCTTATTGTAAAATTATTTAGTTTTCTACACTTACGATTCAGTGATTTGGCTTTATAGTGGAAAGATCAATTCTCTTGTTAAATAATTCTTGAATTTCAAGTCTCCGGTGGCTTGTGAAGATGTTATTTCAGTCTATGAGAAGGTTAAACAATTAGAGAGGCCTGAATATTTTACCTGACGAATAACCTGTCTTATGCACCAAACCATTCCCATTTAGCTTTATCTTTGACTTCAACAACATTATAATTCTATTCTTACAAGCAGACAGCATACCTAACAAGAAAGAGGACTAGTTTCATGTACATTTCATCTGTAACAAATTTTATTTTATTTTTCTGATAGGTCATCTGTAACAAAAAATTCAATCAGTTAATTATACTTTTTTATATAAAGAATTTCTCCATGCAGGGGTTGTCTGGGAGGTCTACAGTAATATTCCTAGTCAATAATGGTTTTACCTTTTTGTGCCTTTTCTTCCACGTAAATAGTCTCTTCTAGAAAATAAGAAAGCTACATATGATGATTAGCCAAGTTTTGTTAATTTGTGTTGGTCATTAGAATATTTCCTTTCTTGATTATCTGGAATTCAATTGGAAGAGAGCGTACTGTGGTCCATGAAACGTTTTGCACATGAACACGTCTCTCCATCATATATTATTACTATTTTGGGTTCTCTATTAGTTTATAATATCTATTTTGCTATGTCTGCATTTAATTCTGTATTTTACACCTAAACTCTCATAGTCTATTTGTAGTCCTCAAATGATATATATTGAGTGAATTTTTTCCTTTGGATTTTTATTGTTGGTCAGAAAACTGCCTCTGAAATTGGCCCCAGTTTGTCAAAAGTTTCTGCTTCTAGTCCATTGAAAGAGGAGTCTTTCCAGCCATTTCCAGGTTTATTCTCATTCATCTTCACATGTTCTTTTAAGCCTTTGACTTCTTGTCATGTCGTGATAGTCTGCCTATTCTACTGGGTACCTCAATATGTGTAATATGTTTATATTTATACATAATATTGATCTTTTGCTATTGGAGATTGGAACATAGTTCTCTGATGCATAATCTATGTATGCGCCTAAATTCTTATAATGTTGTGCTGATGATGCAAAAACTCAATAGATCTCAAAGATACTTAGAAATACAAATGGCCTGAATGTTACACAATATTGGTGTGAAAAGAAGGTAGAAGTTTGGCTATGAAACGAGTTATGGAATAATAACTATAACTCTGCTTGGTTCTTGTTTCCTATGTATGCATTCCTAAAAGGTGAACTTAAATAGCCAATGGGAAATTATATTTGATTTTCAGGAATATATGGAACTGGCTGAGCCTTCTATTTTGTTTGCCTGAACCGTCAGACGGCTCCTATTTACTAATTAGTGATCAATGTGTAAAAGCTTGTTCCAAATTCATACTTAAAAATCTCGCATGTTACCCACCTGTAAAAGTGAGTTGGTCAAGAAAATTATTTCAGTGGTACAAAAAAAATAATAATAATAATAAAAGTAAAAAAAATAAATTTAAAACTACCAATTGGTGGACAAATATTGCATTTACCAGTAGACACGGTATATTTTATCGAGCTCGTGTTATGTAAAATTCTTGCATCAGTTGGGACAAGTGATTTTTTATTTTCATCCAATGTTCTCGTGTGTACAATTAATCTTTTAAGTTTTTATAAACCAAGGTGTTTCTTCATTTTTGAAATACTTATCAGTGAAGGCGTCGTGATAGAATACCTTTATATATTTATATTTTTACTGGTTTTTTCTGTTGATCTCACTCACTCATTACCATTATTTCAGAGTTCAAACGCAGAAAGCGACACAGGAGGAAGCATGTTGAAAACCAAGAACAATGTATCATGAGAGGCGTCTATTTCAAGAACATGAAATGGCAAGCTGCAATAAAAGTTGACAAGAAACAAATCCACTTGGGAACTGTTGGCTCCCAAGAAGAGGCTGCCCGATTGTATGACAGGTATTATTTCTGACTGCAGAAGTTATCTTACTGGTTACTGTTACAGACAAACAATTTCTCTTCTTTTTCGCNATTGTATGACAGGTATTATTTCTGACTGCAGAAGTTATCTTACTGGTTACTGTTACAGACAAACAATTTCTCTTCTTTTTCGCAAACCTGAAATCTACCGGTTCCCTCACAACCGATGATATCTTATGAAAATTTTGCCCCTCCCCAAAAAAATCTTGATCATTACCACGTTTTAAATGCATTTCACCAGTTTGTTCTCTCATACTATGACGCTGTTTAAATAATGTTTCGCTTCAGTGAACTACTGTTTTGTCCTATTGTTGTTAAGATGATCATTTCTCTATCTTTTAGTAAGAACAATTATGTGCTTGGTGTGCAAAATTTGAAGTCTTTTTATAATAAAGTAAAATTAGAAATCTGATCTCAAGATGAGATTTTCATATTTTCAGGGCTGCATTCATGTGTGGGAGGGAGCCCAACTTTGAACTATCAGAGGAGGAGAAGCAAGAACTTATGAAATTTAAGTGGGAAGAATTTTTAGCCTTAACTCGTTCAGCAATTACTAGCAAGAGTAAGCTCATAGACATGTAAATTTCTTTCATTATTTCTAGGTATTTCAACCTTTGATTGTGATTCAAAAGAGTAAGCTCATAGACATGTAAATTTCTTTCATTATTTCTAGGTATTTCAACCTTTGATTGTGATTCAAAAGAGTAAGCTCATAGACATGTAAATTTCTTTCATTATTTCTAGGTATTTCAACCTTTGATTGTGATTCAAAAGAGTAAGCTCATAGACATGTAAATTTCTTTCATTATTTCTAGGTATGTCAACCTTTGATTGTGATATTTGAATCTGCAGAAAGCCAAAGAAGAACAGGGCCAGGTTTACGCGGAAAACTGCAGAACAATAGCTGGGATGGTGAACAAGGACGTATTGGTTTCTCAGCATCGGAAGATGACCCTTTAGTCACTTGATTTTTTTCCCATGAATATATATATTTAGCTTGACAAGTGTGTTTATCAATTCAACCTCTCATTTTCATTCGTTTCCTAGTATATAAGAGCCCCTATTAGGGCAGATGATGTGGCATTTTATGATAGATACTGAATTATCAGATTCGGTTCAATAAACCGGCACCTCCACACCACCACCACCATTAACGGGGGATAAAAGTCGGAATCACAGTGAAAAAGTCATTTATAATTGCAGAAAAAGCAACGGCAAATCTTCATTTTTATGCGTCTGTTTTACTGTATGTGCACTGAAAACAATCCCCTGCCTTGTTAATAATCTCTTGTTCCATATGGCACATCCCAGAATTCCATTTGCTTTCTTAAGATGTGTTCTGGGTTTCCCTGCAATTCCTTCAAATAAAAGATTTCTTTTGACATTTCCTTCAACAGAGGTGCACTTCTTTGGCAATATGAATGAACAATCTCAAAAGAAATTTATGTATTTGACATTTGGCAATGAGATCGTCAGGGATCAGGGCTTTAGAGTTTGAATTAGTTGATTTCATAAGCAAGGTTGAATTGAATCCTTTGAGGCAATTTGGGTATATGCATTCCGTCAGAGTTTCAACACTTCGAATGTATCTCATTTATTCGTTTACAGCATAAAGTATATTCTTTTTTTGTTTGTTTGTTTGTTTTTGTTTTTGTTTTTGTATTTTTTTTTCAAATTCCTAAATCAAAAAATGGATATCTAACAGAGTCTCTGATTTCTGCTAAATTTTGGGGATGTTTGGAGTGCAAAATCAAATGTAGGGACGAAACTGATATTGTTGAAAAAAGTTGGGGACCTACACTATAATTTACCACAAATCCTTATTACTTGTTCGGTAGTGATTTTTGAAAATTGATTTTTTGATCGTTAGAAAAAAAGTGGGAGCTACTTATGAGAGAAGAAGTTAAAAATTACTGTTGAAATAGTGAAATAACGATTAAAAAAAAAACCCCCAAACGAGGCCTATATTATCCTGTGCTATACTGTCCATGCAGTTGATGTTCTGGAAAAGTTGTCAGGGTCACTTGAATCAGCATGGATATCATGAACCCTAAAAGCCCAGAAACAAGATATTCGATTGAAGAAGCAATCTTTAATTGCATGGATACAACAAATTCATTACAAATTGACAACGACAGTGAAAGTTCACAAACAAGAAAATTTTGCGGAGATATTGAAGACGAAATTGATAGATCAGAGACAGAAATATTTTCCGGAGATTGAAGAAATTTCCATCAGCACCATGGCTCTAGCTAAGAAACAGGAAATTTTTCGGTAGAGACTGAAGAAATTGAAACGGGTTTCAGTTTGTTCAAGAACTTTGATATAATTCGCGAACCGCCAGACGATCTCGTTTCTTCAAGTACCTGAAAGATTGCAGTAGGGTTCATGCTCTAGGGCAAACAAGAATGGAATTTGTTAAAGGAAAAACTCCCAAATTCTATTTTTGTAAGAGTTTATGAATCCAGGGTTGACCTTATGAGGTTGCCATACTAAGTCCACCTTATACTCGATATCACTATGGCTTATTCTTTTTTGACATCATTTTTCCTAGAAATTATCCCTTCCAACCTCCACGAATTTATTATCATTCTTATTGTTTTGATTTGAATCCGAATCTTCGTCCCAAAGGAAAAGTTCATCTAAGCATTTTAAAGACACGATAACAACGTATAATACATGAATTATGTGCATGTACAAGAACACAATGGAACCCTAAACAGTCTAATTCTTCACGTGCTATATGCAATTCAAGGGGTGATCAAGTGTGCAAAACCCTACTCGATCGATGAATGAGAACCATCAAGATACATCAAGAAAGCTTTCCAGTTGACTTGTGGAATCATGATTAGATTGCTGCAGGAACCTCCCAAGAACTTTGAAGATTTTGTTAAGGAACAGGGCTGATTCAATTCTGATGAAATTTAGGCAAGAATTTGATGGTATTAAGGATCAGCCTAGGATTATTGATTTGTTTACTGATCTTTAAAAATCTTTGGAGAGGAATGGAACTTCTTGTGTCGATCATCTTTGTTTCTTGAAATCAAGAAAGGGGAATCATGCAGTCGGAGAGAACAAAAATGAGGGCTGCTTGTTCAAGATTGTGCGAAGGTTGAAGAACCTAATCAACTAAACTGAAGCATTAGTTCGAGAAATGTGTTTAGGATTTTTAGCTCAAACACAGCATCCAAGTATTGGTTAATTTTTCCATGTAATTCTTGATTCATCTATTGAGCTATGTATCCTGTTTCAACAGTTTCTTTAGCCCTGTTAGATTTAATTTTTTTAAAAAAAATTAAGTAGATTTTGATAAAAGTTGATTAAACGTGTGATTAAAAGTCGATAAAAGTTGTGCATCCCATAAAATATTTACTTTTAACTTAAATTAGTGTAGAATATGGCAAAGTTTGGTCGGAGTAGTGAAGTATGCTTCTTCTATTGTGTGAAAAAGGGAAGAGGCAGAGAATTTTCTTCCGATAACTTAAAACCTTTTTCATGTTCTGAAAATCGTGAACAAACTGGTCCAGAAATTTGGGGGTTTTGGGAGATATTATGGTAAGTTTAGCATACACAATAATATTCAGTTTCTAGGAAGAATGTTAGGTACTTTTCACCTATTTTGGGGAATGCAGTATTTTTTAACTTTGCACCTTTCTTTAGTGTTACTGTGTAAATTTGTCCACATCCATAATGTGAGAAATGTCCTTGCAGATCATCTCCTCAACTATGTCCACACAAGAGTCCAACCAATTCTCCACACACCCTTTACACACTTTGCCAGGTCTACATTGCCAAATTCCCCCAAAACGTTGAAAGAAATATCCAAATTCTCTACTCCAGCCAAAGATTTCACTCCATAAAAAATCCCCCAAGAAATAATGGACATAATAGTAATTTTATCTAACTAAACCATGCAATGTAGAGCCAAACTCGAAAATGAGCACGACTGACATAGAAGAAACTTAGTTGATTAAAGTACCGGATCTTATCTAAAATGTAAAAACCAATGCAGTTAAGCAATCAATTTGTATAGGATGTACAAGCGTCAATACTACTTTGCTTCTCCGTTACAAGAAAGTGAAACAATATATCTCAGAATTCAAGATTGTGAACTCAAAACACTTATTTTCTCGAGTCAGGACACCTTGTTAAATGCTCAATCGAGGAAATTCTTTCGCTGTGAATACCACCAATAAGCACCATCACTAATCTTCCCTTGCATTATATGAGATCAATGTATCAAATCAATCTGAACCAACATCTACCCCTTTTGTCTTCAGGAAATCCTTGGCTTCAATAATATCCTACAACGTTAAATGAACCGTTAAATCTATTCAAACTAATCCAGGTGGAGTTGGGGGAGTAAGTAACGGACATCAAACTTTTGGCTTTTGCAAGGTCAACCTTGCTAAATCTCCATAGGCCCAAGTTCCCCAATTTTTAATGAAGGCTTTTCCCCACCCTCACCAGCTAAAGCAAATGAATTATTCTATCTCGAAACATCATAATCAACATGTAGTAAAAGATTTAGAAAGAATTTAAGATAAAGGTATGATAGGTACCTGTTGCAACAGGATTGCCTCTTGTGGGCAAGTTGGAAATTGCATCAGACCAATTCCAACCATAAATAGGCCATAACAACCAAGCGTTATGATAGAGTAGAGAGGCAGCTGAGAGAGAGAACACGAGTAAGCAGCAGCCCAAAAGCAACAGTAAGTGAGGGTACGGAATCAAGTTTATGTGAATAGACCAATTAAAAGAACAAGTGGGAAGCTCACCAACCAAGTATAACTATCTGGGATCACTGATATCTGCAATAGGCTAATCCAGATGGCCGATAGAGCCACCAGCAAAGCCATAATCTTCACAATATGCTTCATTTCATCTGGCACCAAAAGAAGCTTTCTTCACCTCAATTTTATCCTGAAGTAAGATAAATTTCTCCTTTTTTGACACTGCGGCAAGCATGTTCAAATGTACATCAACAACGCAATTAGCCATGCATGTATAAATGCCTTTACAGATAAAAAGGTGGAGATTTGTAAAGACCAAAGAGAACATTTCAAATTTAATGCATCATTTTCCTAAAATGAAATGAAGAGAACAAATTCTCATCTTCACAAGAAGATGCATTAATTATCACAATTCAAATCTAAATCATAACGAGTCTTTCAGAAGAAAATGACCACTGACCTACTGCTTTTAGTTAGTTATTCACATCAATACCCTTAATATGAAACATATTCCATTTCTCAAAAAGCATCTGCAAATTGAAGAACCCAACATGAAACAATTCTCAAGTTTATAGTTGCAAAACTGGTCTCAGGCTTCAAAATCTGTTTAAACAGCACCAACTACCTTGTGTAAAAAAGGCTAATAGCATATGAGAAAAAGCTATGATTGAGATATTAAATAAGTAAATAAATTATTCCATTATAAGTATTGTACAGTATTCAAATCTAAATTTGTGGAAGATAGACTGTGAACAAAGACAAATAAATCCATATTCCAGTTTAAAAACAAAATTAGAAAAAGAGAGAAAGCAAAGTGAAAAGTAATGTTTTCAGCTTTTAAATATATATATATATAATTGTTAATAACTGCTTAAATTAATCTTATAAAAGAAAAAAAGGATTTGATTGGTGTTGGGGATGCGAAGTTAGAAGCAAATATATGTATTTTCATCAGATAGTATATATCTTATAACTGAAGTCAATGCCCTTCTGCAGCATCTCAAACATTATGTGGCACATTTCAAATTCACCAGTATTATGAACCAAAATTATATGCTGGGGGATTAAATGTAATAACAATGTAATGGGGACATGCAAATAAACAACAGTAGAACAATAGAGAGCATAAAATAGAGAAAATGAAAAACTTAATTGATGGGAAAAGTCAAATGATAGAATAGGAGTTGAACACATCAGATATACATCATAAAAAACAGTTAACCTCCAATTTAAGTTTAGAGCCACCACATAAAACAATTAGTAACAAACAATGAAGGGGGGAAAAAGGACTTTATCAAGGCAAAAAAGATGAAAATAAAGAAAAGTTGATGTCACCAAAAAGGCGATATCACAAAACCATTTCACCCACCAATTCTCAACTAAAATGTCAATTGAACTCAAAGCCCTTGTGCAAAACACAAATATCATGTGGCATGGATCAAAATCACCAGCATTATGAATGAATTCATAATATCGAGGGTTTGAAACGTATTTAACATGCACAAAATGCAGAATCAAAATTAAAAAAATGGTGGGAGAAGACATAGCATTTCGGAAATTCGTTTAAGTTAAGATAAATCTTTACGATAGCGCTCTTGTTAAGATTTGTTAGAAGAATTAAAACAACCCTTTCTAGAACCAAATACAAACTACTCTAAACACAATACATTGTAACATAGAGATGAAAGGCCTTTTTATTATCAAGACATCAATATGCTAATTTTAAATCAACATGCATATTTTAATTAATTTTACCAATAAACTTTTATACAATAGATAAGAAGAACACAATACTGAGCATAAATCAGAGAAGTAGAGAGAACAACAAAAAATCAAACCCAATACTACCACAAACCAGCAGAGTAGAACAACACTGGAAACCCCCAAGAAACCTGAAAATCCCCCATCAATTGAGCCTCGAGAATTCAAGAGTCTTGTGCAAAAGAAGAAGAATGGTCTATACTTCACCAAACGTTAAGTGAAGTAATCTAACAGTCAATAGTCACTAACTCCTACATATGCAACAAACGCTAAAACGACGGAGTTCTGCAGCGCTTACTATTGACATGACACAAAGCGATTTTGACCAACACACTCAATAACAAGAACAAAAAAAAGCAGCTGAAGCAATAAAATCCAAGAACACGTCATTCAACCTCACCATTCCGGGGACGAATACAAAACACAGAGGCATTCACAAAGGGCACATGAATCATACTTGCCTCTAGCTCATGGTCAATTCTACTGCCATCAGAAGGGATACGTATGTTAATTATTTCAGTGCCCAGATGGAACTCAAAGCCCTTGCGCAATGTCCCAAACATCATATGGCAGTTCTAATTCATCCAAATGAGGCATTTCTAAAAGAACGTGTCTGTATATTGGCAGGAAAAAATTGTGATTGGGCACTTAATTGAGGACCAGAATCACACGCAACTGAAGGACAAGACAAGAAAAACAAATAATTTATGCATAATAAGGAATTGAACATGACAATAATTGAATTCAATTCAGCGTCCACCCACAACAAAAACTACATCTATATATTCCCGGATTTCAACGAAACTAAAAGAAACGAATATATCCATTCAAAACCGTTAAAAAAAATAAAAAATCTATTATTCCTATGAGTGAAATAAAATAAAACAGAAGTAACAGCACATATCATATGAATAAGCAAAATGAAAATCCGATTACATACCAATAAAATTTACCTTACTGTTAAATCCAACCTAGATTTGAGTTTGCTGGATTTTGTAGGTGTTATCCTCAAAAAGTGAAGGTTTTGTTGGTTAATGAATATTAGGGCTACTAATAAGGGTCCATCGAAAAGGGTAAATTGCAGATGCGGTACCAACCAATAGTGACTTTTTCATTTTCAACCTCAACAATTTTTTTTTTGTCGTTAAGCTCCTCATCTTTCAGTGACAGATCCTCACAAACAGTTTTTGTTCAAAAACACCATTATGTAGGAAAAGACAAAAATATCCACAACTATAAAACATGCAAAAAAGGAAAAAAAAAAAAATGAAGAGAGAGAGAGAGAGAGAATAAAATAAAGTTGTTATATTCACACCTCATTTTTTATAAACACATCATATTTTATTTATAATTATATTAAAGGTCATTAACATTTATTCATTGTCACATATTTCTTTTTTTTTTAAACACATTTTTTTTTTTAACATTTCATTTATAAGAAAATTTTGTTCTTAATTATGATTTTCATTAAAAAAATATTGTTAATATACCTTTAGATGAGGGTCAAATACTTAATCGCATTTTTACAGTATTATGTAATGGACAAATGAATATTTTTTACTCCATGTTAAAAGAAATTTTAAAGAGAAATCATAATCAGTAACAGTTTATATTAATTTCAAAATAATATATGATGAAAAAATTTTGAGACATAATATGATAATTTATAAAGATTATGAATATTTCATACAATTAAAATGTAGTATAATTATAAAAAATTGTGGTGTAAATATATTTAGTCATAAAATAATAAAAACAAAAGTTTGGGGAAAAAATGTCACACTCCTTTACCCACAGGCCCTATAAGGACCGGGTTAATTATATAAATGGCCACTAAAGCTTAACCCAAGTTATTATTTAATGATTGTAGCTTATCCCGTTTGATTCCCATTAATTTTCATTCCATTTTTCTCTCTACTATTTTCAATCTCACAATATTTCATAAAATAATCTTTAAAAACTCATTTTTAACCACACATTCTCTCAAGAAGATAATTTTATACGTAAATCAAAACTTTTTTCTACTTTTTAACTACACATTTTCCAAAAAATCACTATTACAAAATATATTCTCCCAAAAAATGAAGCTCAAACAAACCTTTGGAATTGTGGAATTTGTAAAATGCGATTTGCTAACTTGACAATGGTAAACTATAAAATCTTGTCATGTTATTCAATAAGCCACGAGTGAATTTTTGACCGAATGAATTAGCAACGTTAAGAAGAGTGATAAATGAGCAACATGGAGAATAGTTGAGTAACCAATAGAATATATTTCAAAGTACACTTATTAAGTAATAGTTCAAGTTAGGGGTGTAAGCGGTCCAATTTTACCGATTTTTGACAAATTTTCAAACCAAATCGTTTAAATCGATTTGAAAAAGAAATTCAAACCTAAACCAAACCATTTTGAACGATTTGAAAAAAAACTCAAACCTAAACCTAACGGTTTGGTCCAGTTTTAAACCGTCAGTTTCACCATATATTTTTTTGCCCGTCTACTTTTATGTTATTAATTCATTGAATTCAATATATATTTATATCTTACTAGCAATAAATCTAAATCAAATTAAGCCCCTGTTTGAACCAAATTTTTGGGACAAAAAAATGAAAATTTAGACCGTTATCCTACAAGTTCAGCCGCCTTTGTTGACCTGATATTTCATGTGTGGAACCCAACTTCCTCTCCAACGGTTAATTTTCTCATTATGATGATATGAAAAATATGACTCAAACAGAACTAAATATATTTACTATAAATTTAAATACCAACTAAATCAAAGTGAAATCACAATAAACTAAAACATAATTTTTTTCATTTTTGTTTACATTTTTTAGGTTAATGACGATACAATAATATTACAATACATGTCTACTAAACTAGATATAAAGTCAAAAAATATAATGATGTACAATAAGACCTCGTGATCATCATATCTGAAAAAATGATACTGGTTAACAAAGAAAATAACCAACCATAATAATAAAATAATTGTTTATAATATCTAAACATAACAATTACACAAGTATACATTTGTATGATGTTACGAAACGCATTTAATTTCAAATTCGTACCTTAGTTTGCTCTAAAGAAATTATTGCTCTGAAATTTTATTTGTAGCAAACATTATTACTGAAGGTCTAAGATCTCTGTCTTCGATTTAGTATGATGGAGTTTAACTTTGAAGAGGCGTGAAAAATCTGAAAAAGAAGTATGTGGTGTTGATGGCTCACGATTGTATTGGATGTTGGCTGAAGTTCATTTAAATTCTAAAGAGAAAAATGGCTTTTGATAGATTATGTTAGTCTTGAGATTATTAGATATAAATTATGATTATTGGATAATAACAATATATCTGTATTAGAAAATTAAAAATTGACAAAAATACCCACAAATGACAAAACTATTGAATTTTAAATATTTTGATGAATTTTCAAAAAATTTCATTTTTTATTTTTATATATTTTTTCGCCGGTCCGATTTGATTTTAAACTACAGTTAAAATTCTCAAACCTAAACCAAATCATTTTAACCGGTTTGGTTTGGGTCAAAACCATTTCGTTGATCAGGTCCATGTGGCACCAAATCCACGACTTGTAAAATGCGATTTCGATTCGATTTTTCAGTTTGACGATTTTTGTTTACAGTCCTAGTTTCAATTACTGTAGATTGACCAAGCTTGTCCGAGGCTCTATAAAAATGGGGACCCAGGTGTAGAGATGCAAATTATCGGCTCTCAAATGAGGTGGAGGTTTCCGGATTTATAAATAATAATAATAATAAATAAAATAAAATAACTAACCTAAAACTATCTCGAATGTTATTTTTATATTTTATATTCTACAACGTAAATGGTATATGAATAATTAAATGGATAAATGCTGATATTTTAATCCTTGTCCCAACTTGACTCTAAAATATTCCCAATGAGACCGGAATGCAAACAGGGAGGGCAACCCGCTCTCATTGCCACCCTTTTGTTTGTTGGTAGAAAATACTAATTCTTGAACCTTTAATCTCAATTGAAACAAATAATTCTTAATCACTTAAGAGAGAGAGAATTGATAAAGTAATTGTTCGACTAAAAAGAGATAAAACAATGTATTCAACCTGCGTATATCAGCTGCTACTCGAGAATTCTTCGAACTCTTGCACACGGTGCACATTATTCATCTATTCGTGTTAGAGCTTTGGTTGAAAAAACCGAAGGATCAAACCCCAAATTATTATAGTAAAACTGGTACATCCTGTGGGCCGAGCCTAATTCAATGTAGCCTTAGAGCTCAGTCCACGCAGGGCTTTGGGTGGGGTTCGGGTGTGTCTGCCCAAGCCGAAGCCTGCCCTGTTTTTATGAACTAAATCAAGTAATATTTTAAAAATAATGTTATTCAGCCGCCGCTTGGCCTCCATTAAATTCAATTACATTACATTCCATTTTGTTCTCTCCTATTTTTAATCACACAATCTTTCATAAAATAATATTATACGTAAATCGAAAATTTTTCCTTCTTTTTCAACCACTCATTTTTCAAAAAAACACTATTCCACCCATTTTCATTTCCAAGAAATGGGAGCCGAACGGGAGCTCAAAATCACTGATGTCAATAACCAATTTAGAGACTAATTACATAACATTACATGATAAATTCACTTATATACAATATCACATAATTCATTTAATTAAACGTATCGATTATCAAATGTGACCAATTAGACTGATACTAAATAACATTATTCATCTTTCAAACTCCCGGCTTCCATGTCTATCTTAATAAGGTGATCAAAAACATAATGTGAAAAAATGACATTATGCTGATTAAAATTCATTCAGCATTCTGAATATAAGACGACGATTGTCATTCTCCAAAATGACCATAGATGATGCTTGCAGGCGGGAGGGAGGGGGAAGAGAGAGAGAGGGAGGGAGAACAGTTCACTCTCATCACAAGAAATAATTTTACAACAAATAAATGTTCTCCATATATGACTTAAACCACATGGTTATTTTTTTTCATAATTTTCAGAGAAAAAAATATATTCAATATTTTTATGAGGTAAATTAACCACCATCCAAGAATTCTCAGCAAACTAATGCCTATAATTCCCAAAAAGACATCCAACATCCACCATTTCTCCCATTGCCAGCAACCTTTTCAGACGTCCCAAAGTAATCTTCCCGGTATGGACATCTCACCTTCGGACCTAGTAAAAGATGAAACAGCTTCCGGTGAGGACAAACCCATTTAAGGAAGAGAGACCAACGACATATAAGATATAAGAACATCAGTAAATTATAAGCTCACATTTTAGTCGGTTCACAAAAATCTTGAACTCTAAAATATTTACATCAGGATCAAATGATAATGATTGTCACAGAAGTTTAAATAGTGCCAGGAGTTCATCAGTTAAAATCAGTTTACATTACAGTTAGAAAATTCGCCCTCCTGAAAGATTACAAAATTTCTATGTCCCAAACCGAGAGATTTGTTCGACAAAATGACTTTTGTCATTGGATTCCAAAATTGATGCCACCAAAGCAATCTTTCTCAACACATTATATTTTAGTAATGTAGTCACTGAAGAGGATGAATGGAACCATCATCCCCTAATGAGTGGAAAACATTTAAAACGTTGATAAGTTGCAAGTCCTGAAAGAGGGTAGAAAGAATATGTGGGACAACCTCAGCGGTCAAAGACAGTCAAATTACTAACAGCAAGGGTGATATCGCAGGAATTAGTTTTTATCTGCTAGTTCAGTAAAATGCATTAGGGATAGATTAACAGCACTGCCAAAATGATATCAATACCAAGGAGCTCTTCCATCCCTAATATGCAAATGTAAGTGCAAACTAAAAATAAATAAATGGTTCTGACTTCCAACTAACATCTAATGCTAAGTTTAATAGTGACGCGTTGGAGCAGAATAGTACAAAATAATTTTACATTGTTAGTGAATATATAAATCATCATTTTCCCCAATAATATCTTGTCATATTCACATACCAATTTATATATATGTGCACATATACTCTACACTTTTCTTTTCATATATAAGAAATGTTACCAGGTAGACAAATTTGAGTCAGCCTAAATATGAACAAGCAAAATAAAAAAAAAATAAAAAAAAAGAGGGAAAAAGGAAAAAAGAGAGTCAAACATAACATTGAAAGTTTCACCTTCATGTAACAAATGAGTGGCAAACAAAGACAGCTCATANAAAAAGGAAAAAAGAGAGTCAAACATAACATTGAAAGTTTCACCTTCATGTAACAAATGAGTGGCAAACAAAGACAGCTCATAACAAAATCATCTTAAGTTAATTGTGCAGTCCCTCTCCTTACCCTCCTAGAGCTCTATTTATAATAAATTGACTTTCAAGACTTCTGAGCTTCTGCTCTGTTTCACACCCAATCTTGACTTTCAGGTTCAGTATCTTTCCTGCTCCTGTAAGATATGACCAAATCTTTTCTCGCTTAGTTGTCCGCCCTGAAACCCCTAAAATCCAACCTTCTTAGCCCCCGTTGGTAAGGATTAAAATCAAATTTTAGTAAATATTGATAAAAGTTGACGAAACGTGTGGAATATTTAATTGTTGATTTTAACTAAGATTAAAATTTGGATTTTAATTTTCATGAAACGTGGACTTAATATCTTACTACCATACCCGTGCCCATCTGAACAACATAAATATGTTCTTTGATTATAATCTGATCTCTCAATTGCACCATTTACATTGCTAAGTTCTGTACTGTTCTGTGCACCCTGCATAATCACGAAGTTTGAGTTTTCGCTGCAACAACCACCACCAGAATGACTCTGTTGACTCCTTCCCATATTAGGAACTGATTCTGCCTTGTTGTGATAGAAGCAATATACGGATTTGCCTCCTGCTTGCAGGCTGAATACAGATGACTGAAATACTTCGATACATACAAATTCCAATACCTTAGTGACAATTTCAATTTCCCACCATCTAAGAAAGGCTCAAATCCATTTCTGTTCCATCGATGACTAGAAGTTCCAGACAGCAAGAGTTTCGGCCAACCAATACACTGATATTGTAATACCTTACCAGAAATCAAATCTCTTGCCTAATTTGTACGTCTCATTATTGTTTAATTTCTTTCATACAAAGGAAACTAAAATTCTTTTAATAAGGTCCACAGGAGAATCCCTTAAACCATATTATCTTAGTCACCTTGACAATAAAAACTAATTACAAAACTCAAGAAATCCTCTTGATGCTAAATCATTATATTGAGCTCTACATTATAGCATTACTACCTAGACAAAAATAACACCCTTCAACTATATAGATAAAATAAGAAGCACCAACACGGACACGAGTGTCCAATACATACACGTCGACAGGCAATCTTTCGAAAAAGTTCCAACACGATACGTTCCCGACACATTGATTAAAATATTATTTTTTAATAGTCCAAAATAATGATTTTTTTTAATACTTATAACATCATACATAAATAAATAACAAATAGAAATCAGACATTTAGTACTACTGGCTAATATTATAGTATGGCAGTCCACATGATTGTGCCTTGGAACCATTTCAGAAAATCTCATCTCTGTCCTAAAGGTTTAGCTGAAATTATAAATATACAAAATCAATGGATAGATTTTTTTGTTAAAGGGTAAAACTAGAAGGAAAACCTATCAAATAGATAGTAGAAGTCTTAATGTTTTGGGGCACAATACATCTGAATTAAAAAGTAAACTTTTTTGGAAATAATGCCAAACACGCCTCTTCATTTCTACCGCAAAAAAATAGAGTTTACTGTCTTCTTCCTCAGTGCCGTCCTGGCGCTGATCTTCATTCTTAAGTTCTTCCGACACGCCTTCAGTTCTTCTTCATCTCCCACACGCAACGGCGACATGTCAGAGACGTACTGGTGTCCGATATATGTCGGACACTGATAAGCCAATGCCGGAAGCGTGTCAGTGCTTCCCAAAAGATAAATTATACTAAAATAAAATAAAAAAATTGTTTCCACATCCACAGTAATGCCCTCTTAAACAGCTTATCATCTAATCATGCTTTTCACTCAACAACCCCTAAAAGATGCATGAATTGGTCAAGTAGTAAGCTCATGTACTCTAAATATCATGTCCCCGAAGAAGCATGTTTCCACAAGTGCTTATGAACACGGAGAATAAACACGGAGAAAGAGAGAGAGGAGCACCTCAAGCCCTAGTTGTAGCAGGAAGATAGATCCTGAATGTGTCTTTCATAGTTATTTTCCTTCTACAGGTAGGACATTTACTCTGAGCAGCTATGGCAGTCTTGATGCATGCCTTACAGAAAATATGACCACACTTGGTTGATACCTCCTCGACTAATGGGCCCATGCAAACTGGACAGCTGAATTTAGGTTCCTTTGGGGGTGGTGGAATTGGCTGTGAAGCCACCAAACTCTGTGCTGTGTTTTTCTGAAATGTATTAAGGTAACCATTAGCCTATCTTAGATTGTCATATCAACATCCGAAACTCCCAAAGGGAACAAACTAAAATAGACTCACAGCAACCAAACCAAAGAAACAGAGCTCAGAGACAACCAATAAATTGAAAAGAATCTAAAAAAGCCCAAGTCCACATGAAGAGTTAAAGATTGCATAAAATGTCAGGGATCAATGCATAATGCAAAACATGATATATGAACCAGCAGCATTCACATTAAACAGCGATGATAGCATCCCAGATGCAGCTCCATATGGCTTTTCAAATTCATTGTTTAGCTTGCACAAATGTTCAAGGTTATACAAAAGAACCAGATCATCTTAAAACATGTCCTTTCAGTTCGGATCCAGTGCTGAAATATAAAACTCTACTGCTGTCAAAATTTGACGTAAATTTGAATTAAAAAGTTAAGGTTTCTGTTAAGCCAAAGGATAATTACCCAAAAATCTATTAACCAAACCCAGAATAGATTGCAAAAAAAGTGTTAATATCCTTTGTTTCATAGAACCATCAGATTACAGACAAAGTATCACAATACTTAACTGGACATCCAATTTATAAAAAATAGTCAATCAGGATTTGACTGTAAAAAAAAAAAAAGAAAAAAATGCTCATATAGACTAGGAAAAAAAATCACGTAGAAATAACTAAAACAGGATCACAAACATCATAAAATATGAGACCAATTTAAACCAGTAAAATAGCAGATGGAATGTGCATTGAGTAGAATAGTTTATTACCATTCCATTGCTGCTTTCTTCCAGATTGACGTACACGTCACAATTTATAATTGTTTGGTTTGTAGAAATTCTTCTGCGCTTGTTACGAGATGACCTTTCCTCTGCAATACACAAATGAAGTCAAGCTGCAGTCTCCCAGAAAAGAAGTGCAGAAGGAAGAAAGATAATTCACTATCATATAAGCCGAAGGCCGTACATCAGAAGAAAGAAGGAAATAAACCAGACAAATTGAGTTCATAAACAGCTAAAGTTAAGTTACAACTAGAAACTTCCTAGAAGATGTCAAATGAAAGAGTTTTTAGCATAAACCAGGTAAAAAGGTGACACCATGAAAAGAAAAACTTAACCTTACATAATTGAGAGTTAATGTACCTAGCGAAGTCCATGTGACATTTTTCTTCTTTTTCTTTGCCAAAACGGCACCATCATGGTGAAATTACTCGACCAGACAATGATATAAAAATTTAAGAACATCCCCAAAGATAATAAAGGAGAGACGGAATAGTATTTTATTTCATAAAACAAATTAGGATTATACTACTTCAACATAATGGACACCGTAATGGTGTTCATTATGTACCCCAAGCATCACCCAACAAATTAAATGATGATAAAATGAAGCCAAGACTCATTCTCCAGGCAACTTTTGAGAGGATAAATTTAGGCAAAATTCATTAATCAAAGATCGTGCAGCATTCCATGCTTTTGCCAGCACCAGATGTGGATGAGTGAATTTGTAATCTCACTATTACAGTTAAATAAGGTAAAAAATCATCAACAGATTTCCGTCTTTTCACACATTCTCCTACTTAACTGGAGTCAATTGTGCTGTCAAGGACAGTTTATGTTTATACGTTAGACTCGTTAACTTTTCACCTTCCCCCTAGGGGCATCTGTGGGAGGCGAATGTCAAGTGTGTTCTGTGCCTCCTGCCTTCAAATTAGACTTGAGAGAATTTTAGGAGAATTTATTCAGCAATAAAGTGCTGAAGACAGGTGGGGGCACACGACAGATGTACATCTGTACATGTGTTATGTGCGTCATGTTATTGAAACAAATAATATTTATCGCTAGTTAAAAATCTGCTGGTTTTATTTCATGAAACATAAATTTATTTTAAAAAAAAAAATCGGAGTAAATAATAAGTTAATTTTTTGGAAAGTCTGTAAAGTTTTGGACATCGAGTATTTGTTTTAAAAGTAAAGTGACAGCTGCAGTGCTGCTTGTTGTGCATCCAATGGCAGCAAATCCTTAATAAACTTGAGTTCAATCATTTATCAATAGGGTGTGGACAATGAGGTTTTTTCCATGAAGGCGCCCAGTTAAAATCTAAAAGTAAACTTTAGAAACTCGAACTGTCCCCTCTCCCTCAAGCACAGCAGCAGCAAACCAATTTTCATTTTCTTCTTCTCTGTTTTTCTTTTATCATCAGAGGTTGATAATCTCCTTAAGCTGCATCTTCTCCTCTTTTCTCTTCTTGTTAAGAAGTATGCATGATATCAATGGCATGTCCAAGGTCTCTCCAACAATGTCTTCAATATATCCCCACTGCAACCGTCTGACACGTAACACAGGGACCAAGGTAACATGCACAATATAAACTATTTCACACAACTACAGATTCATAAACATCTAATTATGGTCTGCATAACAGATATTTAAAGAAAACAGCTACCAGGTAAACACTATATTCGAATAAGAAAAACATCTTGAATGTGAAAACATGGGAGAGAGAAGTTAAGTACCAGAGTCTAGGTCAATCACAAGAGTCTTTCCATGATTCCTTCTAGAATTATTTTTAGCCTAAATCAAAAGATTCCGTACAATGATGAGACCACGGTGACAAAAACAATGCACAGAATTCAGCATATCTTCAAGGAAAAAGTTAATAGAAGATATTATACCTCTGCAAATGCCCCTGGGGAAGTTATAATCACATCATCCTCATATGCCTCAAGATCAATTGGTGCAGGTATAGCGTCACCTTGTTGGCCAGCTTGCTCGTCCCGGGACCTAGCACAAGTTGATATCCCCTCCTGACTTCGGCTTTCACATGGTGGTGCAGCATTAAGATCAACATTTAACATTGGCTTCCTCCTCCGACTCCTGGTATACCTTGTAACTCGCTCCAGGGTGCTCATGCTGTAACATATTGCAAGGAAGTCAAATCTCCTACGCACCTACCTTTTCCAAATGATAAATATACCCATAGCATGTCTTGAATTGTTGAGCAAAAATTTGAATCTGACAATAAAATAATAAACAAGATGCATATTGTCCCCTCACAACCCTCCTGCTACTGGCCCAAAAAAAGGTTTCGAGAGTGGTTGAAAAGCCAAATGGCATTTACACTATATACTTTTCACATCAGATCCTAAACTTAAGAAATATAGCATAAAAAAGTATCACAGCTTTCATTAAAAATCTTGATAGTATCTCAAGAACTTCATATTACTTTAGAAGTCCAAGCTCAACGAGAAAACTTATAATGTCAGCCAAGTTCAGTTGCAAGTTCAATTTTCTGCCTCAACTTTCAAACACACATTATCAGTAAAAGGATCCAGATACAGCGAACTGTTTGGACCTGACACTTGTCTTCTTAAAACAAACCCAAACCAATGGAGAGCATAGGACATTGAAGCACCACATGTTCGCAGCATAAATAGCCAAAACCAATCCCACACACTGAGTTACCATTAGTTTGAAACGAACAAACATAGAATTAAGTGGAAAATACAATTAAAAAATAAGCTAGATTCGGTCATCCATAACTAATTGCTCAACTAAAGGAACTTAATGTCCAAAACTTACAGTAAATATAATAATAATCCAGGAAAAATAAGGATCAGCACCAAAAATAATAATAATAATAAAAAAATAAAATGGCAAAAGCTACCTCATTTATGATAAATTATTGCAGAATAATTAAAACTGCGCAAAAATCAAAATTTTATATAAATAATATTCTCAAATCTCAAACTTTAAAACGAGAGTAATACAAACATTAAATCAGATTTCTTCATGAAAAATTTTTATATATCAACCAAAAAATAATTTATATAGATTATCCTATTTAAATAGCCAGGCCACGAGCTCAAAATTATATTTTCTTAGGGATAAAAATACCAGCTGTAAGGGGAAAAAAAATCAGACCAACCACAAGGTCAATTTCTTCATTCCCTGAAAATAAGAAAAGGGGAAAACTACCGACATATAAACCCTAATCGCACAATCCAATACACTGGATGATCAACAAAGCATAAAAACTCAATCGATAACCGTCTCGAAGATTCAAAAACAGCATAACACAGTAAGAATAAGCAGAAATCTATCAAATCAGAACCATATATACAAAACATAAGTACCTGTCTAACTAATCTTTCAATTAAAAGATGAAATAGCAATCGGAAGAAAATCAAAACTGATATTCTGAAGCGAATCGAATCGAATCGAAGTATGAAAGTGTATGTATAGAAGAGGAGGTGGGTAGAGGGTAGGGTTCTACAGAGAGCAAATGAATGGAAAGAAAAGATTTCCCCTTTTATGGTGCATTTGGTTTTATATATTTATGATATGGAGACGACGTTCAAGATCCAAATGCAATTTGAATTTCCCACTTTTGCACTTTCGTAATTGCTTACGCACCGCACCGCACCGCACCGTCCGTAATCGCCTTTTTTGTTTTTTCATTCTTTTTACTTTGTTTGTTTAGTACAATTTTTGATGGGTATAGCTTGTGCCCTTGTTTGAGCCACGTTATTTTTCTAAGTATGCATATTTGAATAGTGTATTAGTGAAAAATATGTTGTTAAAAGATAAGAAAAAATTTTGAATTTGCATATGATATCATTTTATTAAAAAATATGTGATTGAAATTATGTCAAATCACTGTTTAAAAATATATTATTTTGAAAGAATGTAGGTCAAACACTCAGTGTATATAGAGATGCAAATTAAGTACAACGTGTACATGCATATTTTACCATCCGTCTCATCAAGTAATGATATAATTATGAGTTATGCTACACAGATAGAAGAGACTCACTGGTTTATATATTTTTTTTACAAATCGCACATGTGGCTTTGTGATTCAACAAGTAGGAAAATAAAATTTCGACAGCACCTATAAGTTCTGTGAACAATTACCTGGACTTCTTTCCAATTTTATGGGTAGATGTTCTGTTAAAGAATTATAGATCATTCCTTTTCGAATTTGGCCCCGTTTGGTAGGGATTTTGAGAATTGATTTTTTGACCGTTAGAAGAAAAATGGGGTCCACATGTGAGAGAAGAAGTCAAAAA